ATACTTTTGGAAAATTTTGCGGAAATCCTTATAAACACATTTCTCCTTTATATTATTCTCTTAAATTTTTATGTTTAAAACGTTATTAATGTTACAAAACTTTTTTTTTTTTGCTAAATAGTTGTGTCCTCACGCACTGTAGTCGTCTTTTGTGCACCGCTAGATATAACTTTTCTTCAATAATCGTGCACAAATGCCAATATTTATTGAACAAGCTATTACATATTTTAAATTTTTTGACTAGAAACTTTTATGGATAGGGTTTTTTTAGAGATGTTTCGAAACCTCTCAGGGTTTTTAAAATTCTATTCTGCGGTAAATACTAAAAATACAGTCTTCACACGATTTTTTCATTCCTTGAACCCAATGCATCACTTTTCTCATTTATGCCGAAACACTCGTATTTCGAAAGCTGTGTTATATACATATATATATAAATTTATATATAAATTTCATATATATTTTTTATATTCTTTTTATATTTTTTTATATATTTTTATATATTTTTATATTTTTTTTTTATATATTTTTATAAATTTTTTTATGTTCTTTTTATTTTTTTTTATATTTTTTTATATTTTTTGTGTATATTTTTTTATATATATATTTTTTTATATATATTTTTTTTATATATTTTTTTTAAATATATTTTTTTAAATATATTTTTTTTAAATATATGTTTTAATATTTTATTTATTTTTTTCATATTTTTTATATTTTTTAATATTTTTTTTATTTTTTTTTTAATATTTTTTTTAATATTTTTTTTATTTTTTTAATGATTTTTATAATATATTTTTTATTATATTTAATTATATATATAGTATTTATATATATTAATTATATATATATAGTATTTATATATATTATATATATTTTCTTTTACAAATACATATATGTACTACATATATTTTTCTTTTACAAATATGTATAATATATATATATATACTCATTATATGCATACAATATGTGTGTATGTTTTCCATGCCAAGTCTATAGAATTATTTATACAACTTCGGATTGAACTGCATAATATATAGTTCTAATGTTTAGGAACCAGAAAAACTCTGTTTTAAAATAATGAAATTTTAATAGCTATAATTTTTTAGATTGAAAATACAATTGAAATTTTTTCCCCAATTTTTAATTTTTATATCTTTTCCCTCTTTGTGTTTCCTTTTATAGCTCTTCACATTTTTGATGCTGTTAGGTAGCATTTTGAGTTTTGTTACCATAAACTGCTTGCTCAAATGTCATCGTTGAAATTATTTCTTAAAAATACTCAATATCTCCTGCATATATAGGCAGGTTGGCCATTAAGAAAACCAAATAAACATCCTCAATTGGTACACGGATACCCTCCACAAGAGAGCGGCACCACTATTTTATCATATACTTTTGGCAGAAGATATATATTGGTGTATACTTTCTTTTAAGGAATTGATCATCAGAGTTTCTAAAAATTTGATTTGATTGGCTATATAATTGTAATGTAAATCTTTTTTATTACATTTATATTTGATAAAAATGTAGCATGATTTCAATAATTTCACAACAAAATTGACATTATTAGCACCAAAATAATTGGAGAATTTTATGTTAAAAGTTTTTAGTTTTGAAGAACAACTTTTAATCTTTTCTAAGTTTTTGTTGATCAAAAGACATTGATTTTCTATAAACCTGTTCTTAATTCTACTCTTTTTGTTTTAAATTTACTTAGGAATAGGGATTAATAATTTCTTATCAATATATGTTTAGATATATTTCAACGTGTTGTTTTTCATTGATCATTAATCGTTATAATCGGCTTTGATCAAGTAAAACACTTCTTGCTTTGAGTACAGATATTTTTAAATAGATATTTTGTCTTCTTTCAAATTTCTAGTTTCGATTTAGAAATTCAAATCATTCACCCCTTATATCAAATGTTCTAATATAAAAGGAATTTTTCATACAAATCCATTGTTCATACAAATCCATTGTTCAGATCGTATATTTTTCTATGTGAATAATTGTTTTCTAAGGATTAATATCCAGTCTATTTCAAGTATAGGATAAGCGAATAACTTATTTTAAAATAGTCTATAGTCCTTTTTAGCCCAATATTGATATAATTGCTATATGTAAGTCGGGTTTTTAAACCTCAACCATAGTTTGTTATCGTCCTCTAATTTAATTTTGGATTTATATTTGATTTAATTCGTAAATTCGTAGGTATCTATCACTAGTTAGACTTTGAAATATCTAAATGTTAGAACAATAACCTATAAATGTTAGTACAATAACCTATATTAATGTAAATATATTCTGCAATTTTTTGCTTTCGAGAGCTCTTTCTTATATTCCTTACCAAGCAGTGTCAAATGTTTTGTTTTATGGAGTTTTTAAAACAAACTTGATAAGCAATCAACAATTCTCAGAGAGAACTAGATTTCTATAACACGCTATGTGATTATCCAGTATTATATTAGTTCAGAAGAAGATGCAGACCCAGAATATGAACAACCTATTAAATAATATTCTTATGTTCATTAAGCAGTGGGTGGATATGTAAATTATTGTTTTGTAATGAAGAAGTTCTTCAGTTTTATTGGGAGTCTCTGCTCTTGATTTATTACCATGATCTGCACTAATACTTGTATTGTATAGTATAATGTGTTGTATTTTATATCTATATTCTTCATTTTTTATACTTTATTATATAATGTGTGTGTATTTTATGGAGTATGTGTATTTTACTGTGCATTATTTTATATATTTTATTGTATACTATATAAAATATTTTATTATATTCTTATTATATCTTATTATATACTATATAATATATTATATTGCATAATATTATTATATTATTACAATATAATATATAGTGTACATTATTGTTTTACAACATTGTTGTTTTTTACAACAACAGTACTTACTTTTTTATATTGTATAATATTATTAGAATTTAGTATCTACTATTGTAAGATATATATTTTTTATACACAAAACTATACATTTTATTATTTATTTTTTAATATGTTTTATATAAATATATATAATATATATTATTATATAAATATATAAAATATATATTATTATATAAATATATATAATATATATTATCATATATTGTGCGTTATATTTTATTATATACTTTATTATATTTTGTTATATATTGTTTAATTTAGTTTATATATTTTTGGTAATACATTTTATTATATAGTATAAAATACAATTATAAGAATAACATATAATATATATTATTATATATACTATGAAAGCTTTATAATATGAAATTATGAAAGCTATGTAATATAATTATTTACCTACTTTTTTTTGTGGATCATTAAGTATTTCTTCATATTTGTTTAGGAATTATAATATAGTGTCTTTGTGCAATATAACTTGCTCTCAAATATTTTTCATTCGATTTTTCAAAGTTAAGGGCGTACTTATATGATCAATGCGTGGAGTGAATAATCACATAATTTAGTTAAAACTATACAGCTATATACTTTTTCTTTTAGTTCAAGCTTTGATTTATATGAAGAATATTTTTATCTTACTCCTGTTAATGTTTTATTAAAATTTTGTGTAAAAATATAACCTAAAGGTGAAGCTTGATTTATAAGGCTTATGTATTGAAATATAGAGTATATATTTAGAGTATATATTTAGAGTATATATTTAGAGTATATATTTAAATATATACTTGCAATTTTTTTTTCAATTTTCCAAATGGACGAGAACATCGTGGATGTTGGATGTCTATTAATTTTTATCGAGAGGAAATAATAAGAATATTATTTAAATTATTCGATTGTTCATTATATATTAATAATTCAATTTATTTCCAATTGAGTTCGGCACATGTGTGACATGCATTCGATTTACTTAACTGTTTTTACTTGGACTAATGCTTAGAATTTGAAGCTAAGACTATGTTTTTATTCATACCATCCATACATCCAATTTTTTGTAAATAATGAATCAGAAAATTAAAATAGTGATAAAATTATAATTGCCACCAAGCTTTAAGAAAATCGGGGGTGTTTTACTATATTACATAATATACTTTAATAGGTTCGTAATATTCTTTATTAGCAAATATCAATGAATTGATCTTTAGTAGAGGAAATCGATTTTACCATTTAAGGGTAAAAGAGTTATCAGAAATGAAAGCATTTAACCCAGAAGGAATAAGCATAATTCTTGAACTCTACTAAATAGCATTAGGAGTAGTAGTTAACATATTATAAGAGCTCGATTAAAGCTCGAATGAGTTGTCAGTCTAGTTTTTTGAAGATACAGAAGTTTTATTAACTGTCTATCATTTGTACCGAAGAAACTGTTTTAGTTTTGTGGAAATTGATCTTCACTCTCAATTGCTAACGTGATTTGTGTAAGATGATGCTCTCAGACGATCATTCACAAGGGTTTTGCTTTGTAGCTTTGCTGTGTAGACGAGTGTTCGTCTATTTAATAAGTTAGTTAGCGGATTAAAAAAGAAAGCTTATGCTATAGATAGTTAGATCTTAAATAGGCATGCGTGCATTGCATTCAAACGCTCTTCTAATCGACTTGATTGAAATCGCATCATTTAAAGTTGTAAATTCAAAGATCAAAGGTTTAATCAACAAAAAAATTTATTTGATTTTATTAGTTTGTAATTTAATTATCATAGATGTACGTATTTGGGTTATATGTTATAAGAGAGAGAGAGTTTAAGTTCGAGTTTAATTAAATATAACCATTGTTCGTTCATTTATCTATCTAATCAATTTTATTTATATTCACAAGTTCTCATTAATTGGTATAAAAGTTAGCTATAAAACGAGGTAGAACTTATTTCGCATATGTACATGTGTGTTATTGTTTTTTCTTTTTTCAGATGTGCGACAACTTCAACCAAACCCAGTTACCATTTTCTTGTATTTTGCGCAATTTATTAATTTATTAATTTATTATTTGTAAAATTATTTAATTTGTTTACTAAAACGAAATTATTTTTTCAGTGCAAACTCTTGTTGAAACCAATCTGTTTTCGGATGCTCTGTCTGCCGCTACTGGTGCAAAGAAAGTGGTAAAACGCAAGCGGCCTATTGTTAAAGATGCAGCTTCTCCACCGACAAGTCCAGCCACAACAGTTCTTGCACCATTGAAATTTTATCAGGACACATTAAATGATTCTCGCGATGAAAAATCCGATAAAGAGAATGATGAAAATTTAAATAGCAGTAAACAAGAAGCAGCTGAATCATCCAGTATTGAATGTATTGATTTAATGAACGATGAAGATAACGATGATATACCATTAAAGAAGGTTAAGGAAGATATTGAAAAGAAAGTTCGAAATGAACAATTGCATAAAGAGAATGCAACAATTATGGAAAATGAAGTCGTCAGTGATGAAGAAGACCGCAAAAAACCTGGTCCTGGTTGTGGACCAAATGGTCCACCTGGTGTACTGTTACTACACCGTCGTAAGGGTCCGAAGAAGAAGTTGACTTGGCGTCCACAAGAGCAACTTGAAGAGATACGTTACTTTGAATTTGATGAGACTGAGCGAGTTAATGTTACTAAAGTGTCATTTATGGATATGAAGAATATGGAGCGTTTTAGAGAGCGAGATGCTATACATTTATCGCGTAACTTTGCAAGCCATAATGAAATATTAAGGCCATCTTATGACTCCTGGTTGGTGCTATCTGATTTAGATGACTTACCTACACATCCTGGTGGCGCATCATCAAGTGAACGTAAAGTACAAGTAGGTCGTGAGACTTTAACACTGCGTGCACTGTATTTTACGAATACACTGATACCAGATACACCAGCAGAACCAGATGTTGAACTTATTCCTTTAATGGATCAAATGACAATTCCATTAGATGATGTTGCTGGTTGTGCTGATTCGACTAACGATTTTACAAATATGCCGTGGCCTTCACCAAAATCATCACCAAGATCAGATGATATAGATATCGATGTAAATGCTGGTGTTCGTGATATGTTAGAACCTCCAGACCTTTTCTTGAACTTTAATAATCCATTTGGCGGTATCATGAATAATAGTGCCAATGCAATTCCATTTGGAAATCAAATTAATAATATGCCACCTCAAATAAATCCTATGCAAATGAGAATGGGTGTTAATGGTCCTTCTGATAATTGGCAAAATTCACGTATGAGTAATCCCGGTCAAATGAACTGTCCTCCTGGTGGACCTGGTGGTATGATGCCTAACATGATGGCTCCTCCGCCAAACTTTATGGGACCACAAGGTCAATTCAATTCAAATGGCGCGCCATTTATGAATGGACCACCAGGTTTCATGCCAAATGGTTTTGGACCAAATGGACCAAATTTCGGCTATATGGGTCCGGGTGGCCCTGGTCCCATGGGTGGTATGGGTAACAATGGTCCAATGAATAACAACGGTCCAATGAATAATAATATGACAATGAATAATAACGGTCCTATGGGTCCAATGGGTAACAATGGTCCTATGAGCAACATGATTGGTAATAACGGCCCTATGTGCAATAATGGTCCAATGGGCAATAATGGTCCCATGGGCAACAATAATCATATGGGACCAAATAGTCTTATGGATAACAATGGTCCTATGGGTAAAAATGGTATGAACGGCCCCAATCGTTACAACAACAACAACAACAACAATAACAACAATCGTAACAGTGGCGGTGGTGGCACTTGGCGCGCTGGCGGAAATAATTTCAATGACAACATGGGCAGTGGCAATAACAATAACAGCGGCGGTGGTGGCAGTTGGCGATCAGCAGGCACTGGTCATCGCAACAACATGATTTGCAAAGCATTTTCACGGGGCAACTGCCGTTTAGGCAAATATTGCAAATTTTTGCATCCCAAAAAGAGATTATAAAATTTGTTTGATTATTTTCAACGAAAATTAAACAACAAATCTCTACTAAATAATGTACCTGTGATAAAAGTGCAAATACAGAGGCAGATGCCGCAGTGTCAGTACAAACTACCATTTGTTGAGCTAACTTTTGTCACCTATACAACCACAAAACATTCCATAACAATGCTGCTCACTTAAATGGAACAACAAATTCGAATCCATTTTGAACTTTCCACTTTGTCAACTGCAATGGCAACTGCGAATGTAAATGCCCTAGCTACTAGAACCAAATACTTGTTCCTAAAGACTGCTATTTCAAAAACCGAGAAACAAACATTTCTCCAATGGATTTACGGTTATTTAAGTTATTGTTATTGCCATATTTAAACACTATTTTGTATTATACATTTATCGTAACACGATAAACAGTTACGGGAAATATCGAATTTCTATAAATAAATATTTTTTATTGTTTTTAATTGTATAGTTTATTAATATTATAATTATTTACATACATAAAATACAATAAGGTTAAATAATAAAACATAATAATAAATTAAGTATAAAACCTTTTTATAGCAAGTAAATCTAAATCGTTAAATATATTATGTAGAATAAATATAACAAACAATACAATATATTAAATAGATTAGTAAGTAATTAAAAAATTAGTATTAAGGCAATAATTTAAACTGTTTTAGTAGAAAACCTAATGTGCTTTTATAATACATACATATATAAAAATTTTATTTACAGTAAAAGTATTTTTTTGATGTCTTAAGTTTAAGCAATAATTGTTGCAGTGTATTCTGGTTAGACATGGCAGCTAATGTTGTACTTTTTGATGTTAGCACAAATGATTTTCAAGAGAGTTTTTATATGTATTATCTGCAGTTTATATGTGTTTACATATATGTATTAAGTTTATTAATTGAAAAAGAAAAATTTATGTTCATTAACATTTACAAATTTAAATGATTTCGATTACATTTGAAATAAAAAAGAAACTTTAATAACGTATTCAAAGTGTATTATGACTTCGGGAGATGGGCAATTGTTGGGATGCTTTGTGAAAAATCACTTCATTTTGGTATACGATAATAAGTAAGTTGAATTGGAAAGATTCTCGACTCTTTCTAATTGGAAGAAGACTGATTGCTTAATCAGTAGACAGACACGAACATAAAATTGTTGTTGTAAATCGTATGAATCCATAATCCTTGCAAGCGTAAGGGTCCTTAATCATCACCAGATGAGTTACTTTCGGACACAAAAGGTTTGCATTTGACGACACATTTTTTCAAAATCTGAACAACGTTTTCCACTTAGGTATATGACGTAGCTTAAATCTTTAGAAACTGGCTTTAAAGGTATACATTTTCATTTTAAAGTGTTAAACTTTTACATTAAAAATATAAAAGACGATGTATTATGTCAAACGGTGCACGTTCAGGCGTAAACAAAGAGTTACTCAAAACAGTCGATTTAATTTAATGTTTTGTAAAATCGTCACACCCTGAAAATCATAATGATACTGGCTTCTAAGCTATACATTTTTAAGAAATAGCCATCTATTAAAATGGCTATATCTTTAAACTAGTCTCTTTTGAATAACCCAATATCAATACAATACAATATACTCGTCACATCACGTCTAAAAGGAGTTAGTTAAATTTTAATTAGTTTAATTGCTTTGCTATTTTTTCATTAACTTTGTGTCATTCTATAGATACAATCAACCAATGGATACGTTTTATAATTACAACTAATAACATATATGGTTAAAATACATACAAAAAATAAAATAATCCTTTAATTGCTCAAGGATCATAAGGCCCTAGTCACATCTCTCATTTCGAATGATACGATTCCTGATTATTTCGCTTTCCATAGAAATTTCTTTTCTGTTATCTAATGAATTCCAGTCAAAAGTCAATCAATTCAGTTGACTTTTCACAAAGGGAAGATATTTGTGGCTAATGATTATGCAGACCGTCAAATCATTTTGCATCGCTGAAACAGATATCTGCCAACAACTTGACAATTATTAAAAGGAAAAAATAATAAATGTACTTTATTTACTTTGATATATGTCTTGCGAGGTCAGGATCTACCATTCAATTCTGTGGACCGGAGCCATATTATGAATTAAGTTGGTCTACAATTAGATCTCTGATTGATAAATGGTTTTTAGTCGAGAGAAGCCGCTATTGACACGACATTCCAGGTAACATTCCAGTGAGTGGTCTCATCTTTACCCAGAAAGTATCTGTTGTCAAGATAGCATAAAAGGTTTTCAGAGCATTGGTTATTCTGATCTTTTTTGTCAATTAATTTAAGGATATTATTTATTTAAACTAATTTTTAGAGAATTTTAAGCTGTCTATATATAACATAATACCTATATATTATAGATATCTAAATATATAATATCTTTTGTTCGTTTTTAGAGGTATGGAATGCAGAAAATACCAGTTGTGTGTTAAGCAAGATGTTATGTTGTTGTAGAAGTAGTATATAGATTAAATAGTAAAATGGGTCTAGCTTAATTTCCTATAATTTGCTAATATCTTATAAGATATTACATGTATTCAAGAAAATCCTATGTAGTTTTGAAGTAAAATAAAAATATTCCTATACCGAAGTCAATGTCAGAAAATTATACAAGTTCAACGTTTATACAATATACAATAGTTTAGTTATTACTTACCCATAGTTTGAAATACATAGACGGGGGTGTGAAAACACAAAATAGGTAAGAAGAATTGAAAAATCAATTTTCCAATAATTTTAAAACATATGACTATTTTAATGTGCAGGTACAGCAGATCATTTATAAGGTTTCCTCGTAAACAACCTAGTTATGTACTCTACGAACGGAGGGTTGGGCATATGAATGGAATTTTTTATTTTAAAATATTTTAAATATTGAATCTATAGAAATTCAGTCACACATCTTTATATATCAATAAAATTCACATCAGAAAACCATTAGTATGAAACTATAACCGTTATCGATTGATAAATCTGGAGTAACTTTTTTACGTGTATAATTTATACGTAACGCTTCTATGAAGTTATGAAGACTGGCATTTTTTATGTATTTTCGAACATTTCACCATTTTGTTTTTCTGGACTTGACTATTTTAAAATTTTTAGTTTCGATATCAGTCGCATAGTGAACGCTACAGGCAACATTGCCCTTTTAAATAGGCACACGGAAAGCCCAAAAATGCAGTTTTTGAAAGCAATAATTTTGTTACTTTTTGCACTGACAGCGGTTAATTGTCTTAGTTTCACTGTAACTTCAAGACTTTATATGGATATAAAGCATAAAAAAAAACCATTGGGTCGTATAGTGTTCGGATTATTTGGTAAAGCTGCTCCGAAGGCAGTGACGAATTTTCGGCATATATGCTTACGTGGCATAAATGGCACCACATACGTTGGTTCGAAATTTCATCGTGTCATCGAAAGATTCATAATACAAGGTGGTGATATTATTAATGGCGATGGAACTGGTAGTATAAGTATTTACGGTGATTTCTTTGAGGATGAAGCGTTACACATCGAACACAATCGTCCTGGTTACTTAGGGATGGCAAATCGTGGACCCGATACAAATGGTTGTCAGTTTTATATTAATTCAGTTTCTGCAAAATGGTTGGATGGTAAACATACTATATTCGGTAAAGTGTTGGAGGGTATGGATACAATATACGCTATTGAAGACGTGAGTGTATATTTGGTATAATTATTTTAAATTAAATATTAAGATAGTCTAGGTTAAATTGTTTTAGATACGAATACTTTTGTAAAGAAATGAGTTGAAGGGAATGTTTGGTGGGACTATCTTAGACTTTACGTAGCACGTTTACAGCTCTAATGCGCTTCGCTATAGCTATTGTCTAGTTATTTAATTGTCCTATATATGAAGGGTGTCTGTAATAATCGGAACTTAAATATTCTATTATTAATTCTTTAGTTAACAATTTTATTCAAGTTTATTTTTGAATCGGTTAAGATAAAGATATTGATTTCTTATACATTGAAGAATTACAAATGTTTTTTTTTAAAAGGTTTTGTGTGTTCTCTTCTTTTTAATTATTATTTGATTAAATGGTTAAAATGGTTATCTGGTCTGGACAGCCCTGTTCTACATAATTATTCTTAAATATATAAGTTATATACATTGTGGTCGTCGATTTCAATAATTAGAGATCGATTAACTTAAGCTAACTTTGCTCGTTGTGATTCTACATAATCTCAATGTACTATCGTAGTTTCTATTAATAAGAGCTGGTAACATACGAATGATGACCTAGTACCGGTTTCGCTTAAGTTGTCTATCGTTATATTCGTAACGCATGTTAAACTTTTGAATTGTAACCGGATGTGACATCTGCATCGGTTTTGTTTTCTATCTAATTCTATCTAAATTTATAATATGTCTGATAAGCTTTATACTATCAAATTTCTGTTTGCAACTTCATTGAAGCTTACAAATTCATTAACAAATTTAGTATATATGTTCTATTTAGCGGTTTAAAAAGATAATTGCACTAATTCTATTGTCAATTATGATTTTGCAATCTGCTCTTATATCTTTCACTTGAATTCTTTATTGATTACTTATTACTACTGCTGTCCTTCTCTTCTCTTATGGAGCATAGGGCTTCATATGGTTTACTTGATATATTATATCTTCAAATTTGTTTGTATAGTATAATACTATGATAGTATTTGGAGAACACAGTTTTGTATTTTAGAAGCAAGTTAAGGTTTCTTCTGTGCAGATTTCTAAGTCTCTTTTAGTTCACACAGGTTATTTCTATATAAGTATACTATCTGTCCACATTACCACTGACCAGAATAAAGATAACGATCTTCAAAGATAACGAAAATATGTATTACATATTTAATCGATACTATTTAAAAAAGTATTAAAGAAGGTGCTCAGATATGTGTTTATGTAATATTGTTTGCAAAAATATATAGTAAAATGTGATGGGATATTTACTTCTTAAGTTTTATTCAAATTGTTTACAGTTTGAATATAGTAATTACATAAATGGATATGTCAGATATGTAAAGGAAATACTTTAATTTTTAATAATGAGTATTACAACCGACAAACATTACATATTAATATAGTCCTATGAGCATGTGCACTGGGACAATCTAATGTCGGTTAATTAAAAAGACTCGAAAAAGTAGACTCGATACAGCAATTGGACTTAAAGAAACATTCTTAATCTATAAAGGGTTAACAATCAATTTTTAAGTGGAAGTTTTTTCGAATAAAATAACAGATATATGACAAGATGGTTCAAATATCAGTTCTTGTATAAAAAACTCATATATTTATCTATATACTTATACTCTCGAAATTATACATATGTTATTATACTTATTGTGGATTGTACTTATTATTCTACTATGAATTGTAATTTCAAAAAGCTAATCTGTCCAAGTTTATATAGAAGCTATACAAGCTAATGATTTATTTATTTATATCCTCTAGAGAAAAATATTTGCCATTGTTAATATCATATTATTAAGATTGCTGACCAATTAATTGATCCTGTTAAATAGTTTCTCAATCAAAAAACAAAAGGTCCTTAGTTGAAAAGATTTTGTTTGAGAATTTTTAATAACTCTGTTTGAAGGATTGTCAATGTTAAGCAAACTTGGATGTCTTTCTTTAATTAATATATTTATTTTAAGGAATCTTTCTTTTAAGACCATAGCGTGATAAGGCAATCTCGTCTTATTAGGGACATGTCATATTTGCCAACATATACCTCAAAAATTAGGTCACACATAATATTTGATTATCATATTGATAAAGAATTCTATTTTCTAAAATAAGGTTTTTCACAGTAGTGAACTACAACAACAAAAATTAATTTTATATTATTTTAATTAATTGAATTTTTGGCTCACTATACAGCTGTTTCGAGTATTGTCAAATACCCATCATCATTGGTCTTGAAAATAATTCGTGTATTTTATTATTCGTAAATAATTTTTTTTGAGACTGCAAGTACCAGGCATCGAACTTGGGTCTTACCAAATTTGAAGCTCAGAGTCAGCGCACCTTATCCAACTGACCCAAAGCCGTACTTGACTTTTATGTTCGCACATTTTTCTGGAGTTTTGTTACTTTGCTGTGAACGTTTTATAAATTTTCTAGTAAATTTAAACAAAAAAGAACAATAAGTAGAAATAACGTCATATTGATTTATTTTACTTAATCCTCTTAAGAGGTTCATAATAAAGGACAAAATGTATATATTCCTCCCCTCATAAAAATCCATAAAACTGTATGTATATACAGTGTAATAATTTTTGTGGGTTAAGATTACTTAGTAATGCTAAAGTTTACAATTACTGTTTGCGCTTATTCGTAAGTATATTCTAATCTATTTATCTATGTATTTTTTAGGTTAAGACCGATACTGATGATATACCTCTACAGCCAGTAATAATATCGAATTGTGGTGAAATTCCAACCGAACCATTTGAATTTTATCCAGACGATTTTAAGTAAGCTTATAAGCGATATATACTGAAGAATATTATTTTAAAAATTTATTATACTTCTTGTTATATAATTATAGCATTTTGAACTGGTTGAAGGCAGCTGGTTTCCCGGTCGCCAGTTCCTTCATCATATTATTCATATTTCACTACTTCTACAGACAATTAAATATGTACTGCTGATTGTTTTGATGGCTCAAATATATTAAAAATAAGATTAATAAAACATTGTTTAAAAAAATAAATAAATTTACGTATATGTATAAATAAAGTTAATCTTCTTCTTGTGTTCCAAACTTTCAAATATAAAATTTGTTACTTTTTAACCACAACTCCGCGTAATAGTATTGGTAACGTTGGTCCCAAGTGTAACTGGAGATATGTTTAAAATAATTTATTAAAAATTGATTAATTTAAAATTTATAAATAAGCCTACATCAATGTAGAGGAAATCCTGTAACAATTGTCCATTTTCATAAAACCTTGACCTTGGGTTGATTATTATTTTGACATGTAAAATTAAACCGGAAACATTTTTTTTGCTATTCGATAAAATTTTGCACAGTATCAGATGATTCTTACGTTCCACACAAACTGCTTTATTTAGACTATATACGCTATAGTAGTTTTGTATACATTTTCGATCTTGTGCTGTAAATTTCCGTTTGTGTTGTGCTTTCAAGTCAACGTCGAAGGAATGGGCGTGCTTTAGTTTTGGATCAATTTCCATATCAATTTCTCGTTCATATTGATTGCGATAACGTTTGTTGAAGCACTGTGGCATTTTATCTTCAGTGATGTGGTAAACATATTCATAGTCCGGATAGGGTGTCTCAGGTTTACTGTAAAATAGCTTATGGTACAATAGCTGATGTTAACAAGAGGTTGTAAAAGGTAAGATATGAATTTGTGGCCAAAAACAACCAGAAAAGTTAAAATTTTCAAATTGTTAGTACTTCTATACAGATCACACATATGATTCTTTACGGTTTCTATTTTTCTTAAACTGCAGACATTCTCAACATTAATCTTTGACAAAACCTTTGTAATGTTCCAAAACCCTTAAGAACGTATGCTTATTGAACATGATCATTAAAAAAAATTATGATTGGTTTGAATCCATACACCGCAAGGCGGCGTAAGACCATTGTAAAACCATTGGGAGTGTATCAAATCGTTAAAAGACTAAGGGTCATAAAAACCATAACATATGAAGATTATCGCATAGTAAAGTCTATTTAGTAGTCAAGACCAATGTGTTTAAAGTTCATCGAGTTGTGAAAACTATCATTTCGATGATAGTTGGCTATTATGGCTATTGGGTTCCACAAACCTGTGAAAACCATCAAATTTCGAATAAGTTTTTATATGTATTTTTAACGAATATTGGTAAAAATTTTGCCATTCATTTATATATACCATATATTCTTAAAAATATAGTCAATAGTCAGAATACATACATAAATATATGAACTTACTTATTTTCAAGTTCGAAGTTAACATATAGTCCTGGAATCTTGATAATTGTTCTTGCTGCAGCTGTGATTTTGCCCGGTCCAAAAAAGCGTAAAGCCAAATCAAACTTATGATATGTATTTAATTGCAGTTGTCCTAAATTTAGTATATAACCATGCAATTCGAAGGGCAACGGTTGTATGGTGAAATATTTTAAATGAACAGGTTTACAAAAGGATTGTAAAAATTTAATATGCTCCTTGTATACATTATAGGTAAGAAGTGCTATATCGGGATTATGTATTAGATTTTTCATGAATTTTTTCGTTTGTATAATTTGTTCTAAAATAATTTCATTAGGGACATCGTTGGGATTAACGAACACATACGATTTGAGTATTTCGAAAAAATTGCGCTCATGTAATAAATTTGTTTCTGTATCATAATCCGAGCCAGTGCTTATGTCCGAAATACTCCACTGAAATGACCTTGATTCAACCACACTCAATTCTTCTGCACCTCCCAAATCTTCTTCATCAGGCTCAGTAAAAATTTTGAATTCATCAAAATAATAAATCTTTTGTAATATATTATATTCTTTAATAATTTCATTGCGATCCATGTGTAGGCGTGGTAGGCTCGTCTTCACTGAGGTAAATATGGGAATTACACCCTGTCCAGCCAAACGCAGATATTTTATTTCACTATCGTTAACAGTTATTTTAATATTTCGAAAAAAGTGATCAGCGAAGCCCATTACGCCCTCAAATTTAATATTGGTCGCTCTGAATGGTGCTAAGCTAAATTCTTTTTTTGTTGTTATTTCTACATATCCATGTGATATACGCTTTATTTGAAATGAAGGAGGCAGAGGCAATTCTTCTACTTTTAATGTGATCTGATATTGTGTCACATTACGAACTCGCACATGAGATCTAAATTTTTCATACCATGGCTAGAAGAAATATTACTTTTAATCACTTTTAGTTTTTTTTTAAGATATGTATATATTCTTTTAATATTTAACATACCTTTATACCTAAGTAAATGCCTCCTTTGGAGAGTTCAATTGTTTTCTCCAAATGAACTATTGTAACGGTGAATCGTTGAGGAGAGCCACCGATGACATCCAGGTCAAATATGGCTTTCATTTCGAAGCCTGTATAGTAAATACAATGAATACAATGTATCATATAATATTATTGGAAACTAATAAAAGAAATAAACTTATTTGAAAGACAACGTTATATTAAGCATAACTCTTGCGTGAAATAATTTAAAAAAAATTTTTAAATATTAACTTAATTTTGATATCATCTATATAGGCAATGTATATATATCCACATTAACAGTATATAAATATTAGAAATATATCATTCCTTACTACAGCGACTAAAGACATATATCCTACGAAGTGACTCTTGTCATAACGGAGATATTAAAGCTCATTAGTGATAATCTTGCTCACCCAGTTCTAACAAATAAACCTCATGATAGGTTAGGTTAGGTTAAGTTATATCGCCGATCACTAGGGGATGGATCCACTTAGGCCTATTGCCCTATTGTGCTAACGTATATTGGCGATACCTCATTTTAACTCATGCTAAAGCTTAAGTGACATTAATAAGTTTAGGACTGGTTTTCAGTATTTAACGGTCAAATATAACAACGAAAGATGGTAATCGAGTAATCCACATTATTTGGTAACATAGACGTAAATAGTAGTCTTTAAATTTTTTAAATGCTGTAAAATATATATAGATCTCGCAATATTTTGTAACGGCGAAAATATGCTACAAACCGAATACAAATCTTTATCAAAGAAATTCTAAACTCAAATTCTCTAACGTATAAGAGGAACCTTATATTACTTTTCGCATGCATTGTAATCTCACTTGATTAGATCAAAAAATCAGTTATCGGTTACATTAACGTTTATCAACGTTTTGACAAAATTCAAAAATTCAATTGTCGAATAAAAATATATATAATATAGGTTGGCTTGCATATATATTCTTAGTTTAAAAAAATTAGTTTACGAAATACCTTTCCGAACTCCTGGTAGATGCAATAAGCAATCCTTAGAACCTGTCGTTACGATACCGCTCTTTTCATGAAAATAAATGGTGCGCTCCTTTAAGCAAACTGATGAACTCGGTTCTGATACAATATAACTATCATCCAATTTTAAATTGTCAAGAATTTCTTCTAGTGTTTTCTTAACATTCATTTGTGCTGTACCATAATCTATAGCTGATAGATAATTGTCGTCAAGGATCATTTTATACCGCTTTGCTTCCAAATCCAAATTATCTATTATTTCGTCAATAATTTGGCGAATATTAATTGGATCTTCAATATGGTGAGGCACACACCGCATTTTCTGATAAATACAAGTTAAATTCCTTCCACATTCTTCATTAATTGCATCCGAATCGTAATCGTCAGCTAATTCTAGTTTCCATAAAATTTCTGATAAAATTTGGCGTGCTATCTCATCTGGATCCTCAAGCTAAAAAGCCCAAATTGTATCAAATACTTTTATGTTCACTTAACTAAGTAATGATGAGTAATGAGAATAGCTTCTATTTGTTTGTGATTGCTATCGTCTATCGTCTACACTGGCAAGTTTTATATATATTCGAATGTAAATACATTTTCTTGATAAAAATTCCGATAGAAATTTTTATGGCATCTTTTAGGAAAGTTTCAAAAATTTGTAAGCATTAGTGAAAATATGAGACCACATGCAAAAATTTTGCCGAAAACTTGCCAAGGTAAACGCTGAATAAAAATTTTAAACTTTATTTTTTATGTATCGAACTTCACAGTTATTCAAACTTTCATGAAAACATACTTACTGCCGCTACAAATCTTAAGTCTTCACTCAATTTCTTCCATTTGTATCGGGCATCCATACAGCCGCCATTTTCAAGTGTGACATTTACATCCCTTTCTTCGCGCATCGTAAAAAGTACAAGATTCGGATTATTTATATTCAAAAATGGATAATAAATAGAAACATTTAGGTAAAGCGGTTTCTAAAAATAATAATAGATTTATAGAATATTTAAAATAAATATTGAAGGCCACTGTTTTGGAAATTAAGACTTATCCGACTTACCTGTTGTTTACCATTAGCGGTACAAATAATTCTTCCACCAGCGTAAGAGCAAGCAAACTCTCCAATTATTACCTTATTAAGTACAACAATTATATTTTTGATTTCTAGAGACTTCATTTCAAATGTAAGTTCTCTATGCAGACTATCTTCATAGAATGCTCTCATTTTAAATGGTCCAATAACTTTTAAATGAACGGTATGAACATCGGTATTTGCTATATTTTTAAGCTCAGCGCCCCCTATAAACACAATATATTTTACTATAGAGTTAAGATGGGTAACAAAATGAAGTAGCAAAAATTGTAGTGTATTAGAGTGTAGTAACGCTCTTCTAAACTCTTGATGCAAACATAAGACGTTTAGGATATTTGAACAAAGAGATTTATTTAAACTAAATTATGTAGATGTATGAAGCAAAAATTGATATTGAAGTGGTCATATTGAACTGGAACTCATATTAGATAATCTTAAACAAATAGATTTTGCTGAGACTCATCTCAAGTTCATTATACCATTATAATGAATAAAACTAAAGTTGTTAGTGGGGGGTTTTGGGTTAGGCTGAGGCCCCTATGTACTGCGACCAGCTTGATCTATTGTGCACCAAAAATTAAAGTTAATATGGGTCCAATATTACAACACAGAGAATATTACATTTTCAATTTTAATATTTATAAAATATACAGATTTGATATCAAAAAAAATAAAATAAATTTTTAAAACCTACCATGAACAGTGAGAACTTCTCTTAATAGATTGATATAACCGTTCACTCACAGAACATTCGCCTGAAGAATTTATCTATATAGGAGTAAGTATTATTCAATGACAATGCAAAATAGTTGAAATTCTCGGAGTATCTAAGCATAACAAAGATATTTGAACGTTGCTCAAACTATCGATATTGTAGATTATATTATTAACTCAAAGCAAATTTCTGAAAAATTCATAACATTTATTAAGAACCTATCTACTTCATATCTGCTTGATATGATTTCATGCCTTTTATGTATAAGAGATATTATAAAGCTAACAACTAACAAAAAAATGATATATATTTTTACAGATAGTACTGTTCCGCAATTAATGCTATGCTTCGTTCGGAGCCAGTGCATTAATATCTGGGAAAACTTACTTATATCTTCACGATCATAGAATTTGTGTGTTCTATAGTATTCAATATTTATTGATTTTGGTTGCCAATCCAGTTGTGGTTCAATGAAATTCGCTTTGACGGTAAAGCTTATATTACTGACCCGTTGCTTAAAACTTTGATCAGTAATTTGTATGCGAAATTCACTACATAATTGTGTTGCCGCAAAAGCATTTGCTGAAATCAATATATTTTTCTCTTCACCGGATTCAAGCATCATCATTTTCGGTTCTACATTGCAAATTCCTTTGATTTCTTCAGTACTACATTTCGGTGGACCGATACGTAGCTTCGTTATGAGTAATTTATAATCTCTATGACCACGATTTACTGCTCTTACATTTATTGTGTAGAGTGCAACTTCATCTAAAAAGTTCTTCTTAGTATTAATAAGAAGTGTGCCAAAATCCACGCCCTTAGTAATATCCTGATAGAAGCATATTGGCATACCCTCTATTAAAAATTGAATCGGTACATCCTTTAATAAAACAAACAAAAACAAAAAAAAATAACACCATATAAAATGACCAATAGAATGTGATACTCACCATAGTTTTGCCATTGCGTAATTTTAAATAGAATACATTATTATATGTGCCCGGATCATAAAACTTTGATTCAATTGTTACATATATAAATTGCGCCACAGGTTTAAATTTGAACCCGTATATGTCGAGGAACTGATATATCTCATTTTTCTAAACAAAAAATTTAAAAAATAATAATATATGTATCATTATACTATATAATATTATATATATATAATACTATAATATATAACACAATATACTATAATACTATATGTGTATTATATATTAAATTTATGTTCTTTTCTTACTAAGTGAAATCTAAAGCATGTAGAAGTCGGTGTAAGATTTTCAATAAAAATATACTGTCTCGTCCTACACAAGACCCTTTGCCTGCAATATACTCTTTTTGGAATAATTCGCACTCTTGCAGGTAAAACTGTTGCACATATTCTAAATGGAACATCCGCTATTTCACCAACCGTTTTAACGCTGAAATTTAATTTTATTATTTAAGTCTACAAATAAACATCTAGTATACTGATGTCTACACACCTTCCCCATAGAACTACATTATTAACCTTCTTGAACCTTACAGTACTTTCAACGGTTATCGCATCATTTTTTTGTATATAAAATTTGTAATCATCATTATATAAAGTCATTACTCCATCGGGACAATCGGGCTGCATAAAATAATTTTTATCTTACAAAAAGTTTCTTAAATTCATATTGACTTACAATTGCAAGATAGAAAAAGAATCCATCCACATTGCTCACATTTGTGAATTTCATTTGTAATTTATACGGTTCATCGCAATAAACGACATGATTCTGTATACAAATATCGGTTTCCCAAACGATTTCTGGTACAGAGCAATTGAAATTAATCCGATAATTGAACGTCATCAGACTCGTATCTACATAGAAATATTCGCAATTTGTGCAACGGCCTTCACATCTAGTTCCTGGACAGATTTGTATATCTATAATGGTGTGACGTTTTCCTCTGATATTTGGTATCATAACAAGTGAAATGTACTTTCCTTCGGCTGGTTGTAGATGTATTGGTTCCTTATTGCAATAAACTTCTCTGGGATCTGAAGGTATAGCATTCCAATCCATATACCTATAATTTTGAAATTCTACTATATTTTCAAAATACTGAGTAGAAAGCAATGCATCTAATGTTTCCTTTACAATGTTAATTTCAGAAAATGGTCTAGTTTTACGTACTTCCCATCTGCTTGCCCATACTAGATGTTCAGCGAGTAATGGTATATCATCTGAAAAAATGATTGAATATACAATGCAATCAAATTTTAAAAAGTTAACAAATTTCGTATTGTACAAAAATACAAGAAGTTTAACTATTGAATAGAACATATGCAATAGATAAGCTCAATTCTAGGGTATTTATAAGATATAAATCACACTCGGATTACTATACACAATATATGGGGAGCCATTGAAATAAAGAAGTATGAAAGGGAAAGGGATAGTTGTATGGCGAGGAGGAGATGACGAGGTTTAGAATTCTTTTCAATTCTATCGAACAAAGTCAAAAATTTATTTTGTTTAGATTTATTAATACATCAGAACAATGAATTAGATTGATAACGTAAGTAAAAATCTATTCAGCAATGAATAGATTTTTATGTTAAAAGCAACTATTAGCTAAATTTTTGTTAAACAGCCGCAATACCGACAGATAGCCAAGTGGCGAACAAAGCACTAAACTTGCATCACGTGACTTCAAGACTGGTGCAAGATTACCTTGATAAGTTAAATCTGCTCGGCGATTCAAATCAGGTGTCGATTCTCTAGGTACCGGGCCATACTGGTTTAAGCGGAAACGAATATGCAGACAAACTAGCCAGGAAAGGAGCAATCACATCGATGCTGGGGTCTGAACCTTTCTGTGGATTAGGACATAGCACCCTACTTTCTGTCATAAAAATAAAGGAGAACCTGAACAAAAATGATTACTGGATAATATATCAGGGTTATTACAATCTAAATCACTTATTGGTACTTATAACAATAGGAGATACCAGGATTTATGGACCTATCAAAAGAAAACCTTAAAATCTTCACAGGATTCTTCACTTCATTCTTAATCTTCACAGGGAACTGTTAACTAAAATACCACCTTATGAAACTGCGTATATATACGGATGTAAACTGTAAATTCTGCGAAGCGAATGATGAGTTAGCCACATATGTAGTGTTAGAATGCCCTGCACTAATGCACAAATCTAACGGTGGAGGCAATAAAACTTTGCAAAGTGGGTTCTGTACTACTTTTAATTGACGCTTCAGGGCTTAGAGAATTACTCTAAACCCAGAATAACGATTGGCTATTCTTATTCAGAGATTTTATTAATAATATTAAACAAATAAATATTTTCAGGTTACGGAAACTTGGTAAGATCCGAAACAGTTAATAGGCCTGTCCAAAAGAAGTAATTGAATTAAAGATTCATTTTTCATACTATTATTCCATTTTGTATCCGTCTTATTCGAGCAACGCATTATATTACGGAGAGGGAATAAAAGCGATTTATGATACCATGGGCAATACTCGCAGAAATATAACGTATACTTCTTTACGAATATATTATATATATGCTTTTTGGAGAGATGAACTGATGTATTGCACTCGAACCATATCATGTTAATAGAGTAGCCAATAGTTATGAAATTCAAACTTTAAATAAGAGTGGATTAGTAGATCAAAAGTAAGGGCATCAAGATATTGGCTGCATATATTGTAACAGAATAAGAATATGCTAATATATCAGACGCTTCGATTATTAAATCAAAATATTTAATTAAAATATTTATATATTTTGGAAAGTGTTGTTGATAAATTCTTTTCTTATTATGTTGTAAATGAATATATATGTACTCGTATTCAAATACATTTATATTTGTAGAAATGCTTAAATATATTTTTTACTTACCTAAAACTTCTTCAAATTCATCAGAGAATATAGGTTCTGCTTCTGGATGTGATATCATCGATAAATCTGAAGGATTTTTTGTTAACGGCAACTCTTTAATTGTTTCCAATTCACTGTTTGTATTAGTTATATTCACTACATTCGCATCTTCAGTATCTTCATACGGAGGGTCTGGAGGTATTTGTTCAAGAACCTCCGTTTTCGCTTCGTTTTCATTTAATTCATTGTCTTCTTCAGGAGACTTATAATATATAACTTTAGGAGCATCACCTTCTCCACATAATATTATGTCAAATTTTTCAGGCTCCGAAGCAGGTTTGCATGCAGAAGTATCATTATATGAACGATCTTCATCTATACCATAATATTTTTGACAATACCAGTTGGTGCATTCTATTCTTTCTGGTTTTTTTTTAACAGAACTTACAACATCTTCTTCTTCTTCTAACTCAGATTCTTCTAGAACATGCTCTTCTGGAACAATTTCTTCTGGACTGTGTTCAGATTGCATTTCAAAAATTTCAGCACTCTCAGACTCCAAACTAGTAGCATTTTGTGCATTCAATATATCTTGAATTAAATTTTCTTCCTCTAAAAGTGCTTCTCGATCGGCATTCTCATCAAAAAACTTTTTTATCGGATCAAATACATCTATTGGTAAATAGTTTTTATCAATCACATTTAAAACTAACGGAGTCTCCAGCCCATCTTGTTGTGGTACACATCTTAAAACGATTGGCGTCTGAAGTGGATTTTTAACAAATATTTCAATTATTTGGGGTACCGCAAAAGGGATTTCACCTAAATCTGGTTTTTCAGGAGTAGTTAACACTTTTACTTGGTTTGAAACACCTCTAAAAAAATTTGAAGTCTTTTGTGATTAATTGGAAGTCTTGTTCGTTTTTAGTATATACCTCACTAAGCACGATATAAATCTGCCGTTTTTAACCTTAAATTTTAAAATTTCTGCAAATTTTCCAATCATTTGCGTGAAAAATGTTAAACAAAAAAATCCACACCGTAATCGGTTTAATGTTAGGCCTTCACTCGGTTTTAGCAGAGCGGTGCATTTCGTCAATTCCTCAGTTCCTTTATAAACGATTTTGGTGCGTATACGTGCTAAAAAATTTATATTTTTTTATGATAGGACACCGTAATTAAAATGTTACCTTCTTTATTAACAAACCGGATATCACTAAAATGTTCTTCACCAATATAAATTTCACCGAAATTTATTATATCTGTTTCTAATTCAGCATCTGGTCCTTGTATATAGCCGGTCATTAAAATACTTTTTGTATTGCTAAAACTACTTCCCAGCGTTATAGTTATCAGTAGATAGGTTTTGACTACAAACGGCGGTTCTAAAAAGTCATCGAAATCGAACTTTTCATTTACATTCGGTGCAAATGTTATGCTCAATTTATTTAAAGTTTTAGGGGCAAAAGATCCTTGCTGAAAACAAGAACACATCCTTAAATTTATAATATACCAATAAATCTATATTTATAGCCTTATAAAAAAGAACTAACACATCATCTAATAAGTACCGAGATTAACTATTGAAAAACAATTTTTTTATACATTTTTTTATTATTAACACAATCATTTAAATCTTTCTCTAATATTAACAGTCCTTTCATGTAAATCGATTAATAATTAGCTTCAAAGTAGGTTTTGTTTAGGATATAACTTCATTGAGTGGGTAAAATGTCATTTTCTGAAACATATCTTTGTGAACTACCATCAGATGGTACTAGTTATAGGCATTATCCATTAAATACAGTCGATGTCGATTCGTAATCAACGCCTTGATATACGACATTTACTTCTTCGCCGTTTGCAGGTGCTTATTTTTAGATTACTTTCTTCAAACTCATCAATAGTTCAACGTAATGTTCGTTGTTGATCATTTTTAGATTATCGAAACAGTTCTAGATTAAAATACTATACACACCCTCATAAACGGAGGTCATTATCTTCTCGATTGATTTTTACGTTTTTGGTTATTTTACACAAGTTTCACCGATATCTCTCTACTAGGTTGATTGCTGTTTTGATTGCTGATTTTTGTCGAAATGGTTTTAGATAAGAGGTATGTCAAGGTATCTTAAAAGGTATCTCAAAGGTGTCAACTATATTTCTAAATTTCAGTTTATCAAAATTTAAAGCGATTTCATGAACTGCTTTGATTTTCTTTTATAGTAGCTATATAATTTGGGCAACTTAGAGCTTTTAGCGCGATCGATATCTATGGAGTCGCGTTCTAACTCAGCAAATATTTCGCGGAGTAATAATATGCTAATATTTTTTAGAGTTATTGATGAGTTCGCACTATAATATTTTCAATATAAAAACAATTTTTTAATAACTCATAAAATTTTTTTTTCTTTCATTGTTTTGCAAATATTAAAAGTAGTTTTAAACAAATATTAAAGCTGTAACTCAATAACTAATAGTGAGAATATTATGAAATTTGATCATATAGATCATATAGATGAACGGTATTGATCGATGCTTAGTCTCGGGACTTACTGAGAGATGTGATTTATGTTGCTTACATAATTTTGCAAAGTAAAATGATTGTGAGCGACGGGTACATATTTTTGCTGCAAAGCTTCGATCTCTGCTTTGGCATTAGAAATATCTGAATTTATATCACTACTGCTATCTATGTTATCTCCAAAACTAACTCCAGTGAATGGGTCAGGCTCATTAAAGTTTTCTATAATATTCAGTTCTTCCATTGTGGTTAAAAATTTAATCTCAAAATGTAGTCGATTGTCACTCTCACAGCAAATTTTGAGAGTTTTGGTGAGATTTAATCCATAATTTAAGCTGCCAAATTCAATATGACTGTCAGCAAAGTAAAGAGAGCCAGCAATTGGTTCGTGCACATAATCTATTGGTATAAACGCTTCTAAATTGAAAATTTTTTATTATTATTATTGTATTATATATTATTTATTTAGTATTTTTTAATTAATATTTTGATATTATTATTAATATTTTGATATATTTTGATATTATCAACAAAAGGCGAATTTTATAATTAAAACTGGTCACTTTTAAATAAAATTAATAAAATTTAAAATGTTTAAACATTGGGTGATCAAAAAATTAAAAAAAATGAAATAATAATTCAATATCGACGTTCATAATCTATAAGATAATAGGACCAAAAATTACTTGAATCTTACTATTTTCTGTTCCCGTACGCAAAATCAAATTCGTAGAGAGAGTTTGTGCGAAGGAATTGTCGGTTCGTACTGAACACGACTTACTTGAATTTTACTTGAAAATTTCATCGAGTGAATTTAAAGTAAAGTCAAAAAAGAGCTGCTTTGTTTTATACATAAGAATATTTCCATTAAGGCTGAGTCAGACGGTAGGTAACGTAAGAAATTAATTCAAAGCGAAATGCAAATTCAAAGCGAAATAAACAAAGTTCACCGTTTTTGATTATTTCGTTCCTATCAAATACGCAGGTTTGGTTGGTTGTGCATTTCGCTTTGAATTAATTTCTTACGTTACCTACCGTCTAACTGAGTCATTAATGGCATTTTCAAATTATAAATCTGGATTCAATCTAAATTTACTCTCGATCTGCCAAATTTCGTTATCCAAATGAGTAATCTAACATATTTGAAGTTGTGTTAGTAGACATTTATACATTTCATAAATATACGGAACATGACCTAATATTTGAAGTTGAAAAAAAAAACTGTTTTTAACATTTTTGTTTTATTTTTTGATCTTATTAGTGATGATATCTCAATAGTTTTAATGTAACACTTCAGTGTATTATATTTAAATATGTATATTCCAATTGCAAATATTTTATAGCAATTTGAATTTTTTAAAATTACGTTAAACTGAAGTTGTGATAATTGTGGATATAGACAGACATTTCGTGCTTGTTACGAACTTTATTTCATCTGGACTTGCAAATTTCACTATTACCAACTGTCCATATATATAATATTTTTAATAAATTATTGCTACCTTTAAGAAGTGGTTTGAAATTGAAAGAAACCCTCTTTTCACAATAATATTGGGTTAGGGATCAAAAAGTTCTTAATGCGCATAAGAATATAAAAGGAAACTATTGGAGTGCGATGAAGCTATATTCCAATCTGAACTGATTAATTTTTCTTAAGTGGTAAAAGTAGTTAATAGGTCTGTTCCACGAGCTACTCGTAGTAACTTTGAGTAACACAGTGTGTACACAAAGGCGTTATACCAGCAAATTTTCGAGTAAATGAGAGCATTTGAGAGAACGTAACATCCCTGTCAAAATTTGAAAACGCTACACAGACTTTACTTGTACATTTTATTTTAAGTAAAATTTTTGTTGATGTGTGAATCAGCTGTTTTGCTTTGAATTTAAATTTTTGTATTGTGCGGCACTAGTGTAATCTGGCTCTGAGTAAAAAGCGTAATCTGTCACTTTATTTGTGTTACGCTCTCAGTTTGTATTTGTGTTTTACTTGAGTTTTACTAAGAGTAGTTCGTGGAACAGACCTAATACGGGAATTAGTCCCTCACTTTATGGTGCAGCTCGGCGATAGTTTTTAAAGCTCAGTTAAGTTTTTCTAAGTAGTCAATTATATAAGTTCTATTTCATCATGTCCAAATTTGGGAAATTAAATTAGCGTTGTCGTAGTTTTATATTTGCTATAAAAGATGGCGTAAATCACACATTTTGGTCAAAATGTACAAAATACATATATACATGATACAATAATACAAAATATTGTATCTTGTTTTTTTTTTTCGCAAAACGTGTTTTTTCGCTTTAAAAATTGATTTAATATATTTATGGATTACTAATAGTAATTGTAAGGTTTACATAACTGTTTAATATTATTTTCATTACCTACCATTATTTACTTTTATTTTCATTTGATCGCTTAATGGACTTACTTCTTGCACCGAGAGACATAATAAAATTTTAATGAAATTATTTTTTTCAATAACAACTTTAGATGGAGCTCTAAGGGCCTCATTGTAACTAAAAATAGAGAAAATATTTATTGTGTTATCCAATTAACATAATTTGAGAATGCTTGGTCAACCATCCTTACGTTCTTAATTTAATATAGGTTTTTTCATCTTTCGTATTATAAATTATAAATTCGTAGAAACACTTGTAGCTTGGTGGAGTACTCATGAATTTAATAAATGTGGGTATAACAGGTTTTAGATCCTCCACCAAAACTAGATTATAAAATTAAAAAAAGGGCAATATTATCAGATTTATATATTGTACTATGTACTAAAGAAAGGAAAAATCTTACAGATTATTGGAATTTGAAAAGTAATATTGGGATGTTCGCTTTGTACAAAAACATTTCTTTCAATATTTAATCGATTCCTATTTTTAGGAACCAAAGCGACTGAAATCTCTATAGTTTCGTCAGGTGTAACATAGTCATATATGAGACGTCTTGGAATCAAAATATCAATTTCGTCAGGAGTGTCTGTGTGAAAATTCAAATGACGTGGGAACTGTAATATTTGGGAAAAGTGATATTTTATAATATGCGTAAATGTATATGTATAATTTATTTACTTACATCAGATTGATTTCTTATTTTAATAACTTGTTGGTAGGCAAGAGTTCTCCTTTTATTGCCTTTCCAGATGATTACTCTGGGAACAATTTCCAACGCTGTTATTTCCGACCGATTACTCATAAAATCTATTGATTTATATTGCTATTTAAATAACATAAAAAGTTTATTAACAATTTTATATGAAATATTCTTACAATGATAGGTGTTACAGCAATATTCTGGTGTCTGAACCTCAGTACTCCTGTCTGTGTTAAAATTCATGTTGGTAATTCTAAAACATGACGTCATTAGATTAATTATTAATTATTTCAATACTAATAATTATATTAAAACGTTATATAAATTTATTGTTATATTGTTATATGAAGCGTAAAAGCATTATTATTGAATTTCTACATGAATTATCTGTTAAAGATAGAAAGGAGATTGTTCATTATTTACGTCTTTATTAAGTATAAAAAAGATCTCAAATCTTTGATCTGTGCGGTCTGGTGTGTTCCCTTGTTATTACCAGTTGTTTGTGTAATCAATCTAAAAATTGCATATATTAATTAGCATTTAGGTGCATCCACACCAAAGCTAACGCTTGCGAACGAACGAATATTCGCAGGTAATCGTACTTGCAAAAGTTCGTTCGTTTTGGTGTGGATACAGTTGTAGATGATGAGTAAAGTTTTATAAGTGCATTCGATGTAAAAAATTTTCACCTGAACTTCGATATCTCGAAAATTAATCTAAATCGGCTAGGAACGTGATGTAGTAATAACTTTCCTATTTTAAACAATTCGAGAAATCTAATGCATGCTAAAATATATATATATATATAAATAACAACAAAAATTTTTTGCATGAAGCAAAAAAGCAATATGTAAGTTAATATACTTTATTTTAATTTTTTTTCATTATTTATTTTTATTGTAAGAATATGCAATAAATTGTTAAAATAATACTTCCCACTTACTTCCTTCAGTAAATAATGCTGCTTTGTTGAATTCAAAGTCAACGTTTTTGCATGACGTTTCGAAGTAGCCTCTAGCGGAAATTTTAGCAAGCAACTCCTACTGTCAAATTAACGACAGCTGATAAATAAAGAAATAGAAGTCAGTGCTCCAGCAACGAGCGGCGATTTTATTTATGGCAAATAGAAGGAATTATTAAAATAAAAGTCTAGTGTTTGTAGTTAAAATTATAAATTTTAAACTTTTCGTAATTAAAAGCATCAGTAAAAATGTCAAACTTTATACACAAAGGTAAAACAACAATAGTTCTTAAGTGTACATGTGTTTTCTCAAACAAAGTTATACAATCAAGTGTTTTGTATTGTTTTATAGCATTTCTATTGACCAGTCGACCGCCTCTCATCCAATTTCAACGTTACCGTGCTAAAATTAATATACAACGTCCACGACAGCCGCATTATGACCGTGCATTGGTGCTTGCCGTAACGAAAGAAATTGTTGAAAAGGAACCAAAAACAAAAAATTGTTTTGTTAAAATTAAAAATACCGACATAGAAAATCCATATTTGAAAATAATTGCACGGGAAGTACGCAACTGGTTTGAACAATCACGTATGGTTGGCATATTCCACATGAATTCCATGACTGAGGATGATATGTTTGATGTGCGCGTAAATTTACATAAACAAAATATGGTTGTGAAAATGTATGGTAGACAAATTATGGCAGAAGCGCTCACTGATACAAAATATGAATCGTTGTTGCCATTATTCAATGTGTCTTATAGATTGGTATTCTCACCGGAGGATCGTGCAAAACAACTTATACGTACAGTGCGGAAAGTGCCCCAGATGATGCTGTTAGGTGGAATTGTAAACAATGTTTTGCTGAGTCGGAATGAATTCATGGATTATGCACAACATCCTGGTTTGCAATCCGCGCAAGCCGAACTGGTACAAACACTCAATATGTCAGCCGGTAATCTAGTGCAACAGTTGGAACAGCATCAGAATAGCTTTGTAAATATACTTGATGTCTATGCAAAAGAGGAAAGTCAAATTGAAACGAAAGCAGATAGTCCCGAGAAGAAATAGAAGTAATTATATTACGAACGAATATAATTTTTTTTTAATTTGTTAGAGTTGTTATATTAATATCGAAACAAATTATTATAATTTAAATTGAGCATTATTTTCGGAATTGTTCACGATTTTGCTACTGTATAGATTATTACTTAATGTTATTTAATTACGAAACATCGTCGATATTTAGTTTCGATTATTTCAAAAATAAATCTATCGTACGAAATATGTATGTACTTAATTATCTGAACGCATATCGGTTTTATTACAACTTATCCGTCTGGCTGTCCGTTTAAATACATATCTTCATCTTATTATGCGGTATAAATCTAAAACCGATTTTTTGTATTAAATAAAACCAACATTAAAATGAAATGTACGTAAAAATTTTGATTTATTATGTTGCATTTGTAACCGTTTTCTTGATCGGTCTGCATACCTGGATTTATGTATAATATGTTCTTGTCAAATAACTCTATACTACTTTGACTATTCCCACCTTGTGCTCTACTATATTATCAAATCCACACAATTGTGTAAGCTTTGCCATTATTTCATATGTTTGCGTTACAAGTATATCGATTTGATATGTTGTTAAATAATGCAACAGCATTATTATAATACAACAGCATTATTAAAATACAATAGCATACAGTTCTAGTTCCCGCTGATAGCTTTCTTTTGAAATTGGAAGTGTTGATTTGCAATTACTCGCCAGAAAAGGAGACAAAAAATATACGGCTTAAGTATTGTTGTAGTAGTAACCCGGTGGGATCTGCTTGTGTAGTCCGTTTGGGGGTGTTGAACGACACTTTGTCGTCGATCTCGATCAGACTTCGGGACGTAGACCTGGTCGTGCTTGTCATATTGATTATATTTATTATTAATGTTGCACCTTAAAGTCTTACCAGTCCCCGTCAATCCTAGTAAGCAGTTTCAAGAACAACTTTGTCTATATGTCTATGCCATTTTCTAACGATTACTTTAATGTGTCCTTCACTACTGCCATTAAAATGTTACACTTCAAAGAAATTAGAAACCAAAGAGTTTTGCAAGAATTGATGGTCTTAATGGCGTATCTTTATGTAGCATTTTTGGCAATCTATAGATAGGTGGTATATGAAAAGCTACGAATCATATATGTTTAAATGTTTTGCACAATTCTAAAGTGATGAAGATTAAAGGTCGCATCTATAATCGATGTTGATTAAGTTAGTTCTGGTAAATTATTTTACTATACTAATATACGAATAGAATGCTCTGTTTCTCTTCTTCTTCTCTTCTTAATGAGATAAAACTGCGTTTCTATGAGCAATGAAATTATTTACATTGTACAAGTATCGACATAGTTTGTAAATTTGTCTGCCAATTTAATTGCACAAATTTTGAAATTTGATTTCAACATTAACTTTATATCGGAAGAACCTATATTTAATTGTTTTAAGGAAGGATGTTCACCTTATTTAAATACGCTATGATCACTCTATGTCACCTAATGCGAATTGAGTGCGTTGATGGTTCCCTGACTATCAGGGAATGCAGCTGTCCGTTGCGTTTTTGCCTAGTGCTTCAGAGTATCATACTCCCAGTTCAAATACATTTGCCTAGACTACTTTAGTTTGGAAGCTGTTGAAAAGTGCAAGTAGAACCTGGTTCTTGTTGTGGGAGCCAGCAGAGAACGAATACATGGGTTGGGATGTGGATGGGTATTGCGCTCAAACTTACGCTCCTGCGCTGCTGCAACCGCAATTTCAGGTTGTGAATAAATTACAAACTTGCCTATGAGGTTTGTTATCAATTAAAATATTTTTTTCAAGCTCTCGATATACATCAGATTCTCTAAGCAAATTTTTTAATTTTAGTGTAAGACCGCACCTATAAAGTCGGTAATTCATTGTTTCCTTTAAGTAGAAAAACCAATTACTTGATTTTTATTGCGTATTTTTCTATATTTAAGTTTAAAAAATTTTAAAAAATAATCTTTGTACGTTGTTTACATTGTATTTTCCTCTTAATTGTTGGAATGGTAAAGTTTAACTTGCAATGTTAAGTAATTGGATAAATTAGTCCTAATTAGGAAGTTCTGAGGATCATTAGTGCATCGGCAGCCAATAGTTCATCATCGTCATATTTTTTGCGGTATTCTCTGTACTCTTCGCTGGAAATTGTTACTAAAGGGGAACAATTCTCTGTTACGATGTCTTCCAACTGTAAGTTATCGGAATCGTCTTCATTCTGTTTTGGTTTAGTTTCTATTTGATCAGGTTTACAGCATGCAGCTTGACTAAAAAATTGATATTTATAAGTGATATGTGTATTATATTTATATAAAAACAATTTCAAAAATGTTATTTACCCACGATTTGTCCAGTCGATAAAATAATTATTTCTTGGGGTATACTCTTCCGCACTTTTAAGCCACTTTGATAGTTCAGCATCAGTTGAGGCGGTACCACTTGACGAGCAAGAGCTAGCACTTGCATCGCAAGTTTTTTCATCACTAACATCACGCATATATTTAGCGATTATCTTATGCTTATAATTGTAATTTATTGAAGCATTCCCAACCATTGAGCTTGTTGTAGCGGTATTTACTATTTTATTAGAATCAGAGTCGAATTTAAATTTTTTATATTGTTGTTCTTCGGATAATTTGTTTTCATAAAAATAACTTCTTAATTGAGGTTCTCGATGTCTATTAGTCGATGTATTGTCATTTCGAGTGAAATTGTTATCAGTATCATTTGTTACCCTATCATTAATAAAATCATCTAAACTAGAATCTGACTGGTCGCTAGTAGTAAAGTCAATACTATGACCATCCTCCTCCCAAATGCTGTTCTCGGATGAAATGCTGAATTGCTCTACATTTCCTCGAGCATTTGAATTGTAATTCTTTATGAGTTGGCCCCAAGTTTTTTGTTCATGTTCTGAATTCTTTAATTTACGACGCCAGTTTGCAAACCAATTACAGACTTGAGTATAGGTTAGACCAGTCATCAACGAAAGTTCTTTCTTCTCTTCACGATTTGGATACGGATTATCACGTCGCCGTACCAGCCATTCTTTAAGCATACGCTTTATTTCTGGTGTAAATAAACGCTTTGGTGGCCGCGAAGCTTTGGGTTGGTCTGTAAGCCAGGAACGTCTATATCGATAAGCAAAGAGAAAAAAAATAAATTTTATTGATCCAGAATAGATAAAAAAAACAGATTAAAAAAAATTGTTTAAGTAAACATTATTCAAGCATATAACAATAACGAAGCTTATTTTCTATATTAAAATGCCAATATCAGACCTCAAGACGGTTACTTGAAAAGAATTCTTGCAAGAAAAACATTAGATATATGAGTAAATTAATTAAATTATTTAAAAAAAAAATGTAAATAAATACAAAACATAAAATTAAAACTAAAAGTAAAACTTAAACACACAAACCTACTCAGCCGACGATTGCCTTCTTGCTTACTTGAATCTTCGATGTTTAGAACTTTGTCTTGCATCTAAATTAAAACGTTAATTAATTAAGAAAATTAGAAATTGAAATCAATTGATCAAAGTTAACAATTTAAATTTTCTGGATTTGTTTGAGCTTAAATGCACTTTACCCAAAAAGTTTTGTTATAATATAGATTATTATAATATTTAAAATTTTTTATCTTGAATATAAATTAATTTGATGGGCATATGTACATTTCTATATAAATTTAACTATTTGTTGACTTTATTTACCAAGATTCATGAAACATTTTCATATATGTATATCATCGGAAAGAATAATTAATGTATGGCTGGAAAGAGCAGCTCAGACTGATTGAGATAATGTTATTGCCTGCAAACAAGCTAAAGAATTCATGCCGAATCGCTCAAAAGCCAGAACTAGGAAGCTTCTAATGCTGAACAAAAATGGCATCCGACTTGTCACAGGGTTTCTCACTGGACATTGTGGAGTAAATAAGCATCTAATGAACGTAGGTATTACAAGAGACGACAAAAGAGACATATTCTGTGTCACTGTGATAGTCTTGCCAGACTCAGTCTTTGGTACTTATCAACTGTCTATTCACTTATAACGGAATTAGGCAACATCTTAATTGCTGCTCGTTTATGGAACTAAAGTGGGTGTGTCAAAATAATCCTCAAAGGATGCAGTGACGTGGTGACAAGTACACAACCCGTTTAAAATCTATCTACCTATCTATCAATCATTGGAACAATGGTGCCAAATCAGGTTCACGAAATGAATACCTCTTTATATATACATTTTGTATATTCTCGTGTAATCGTTTATATGGTATGTATAAAGATTTGGGGGTTGTTATTTTCAGAAATGATATATGTACTAAACCAGGATTAAAATTTATATAAATTAGTTGATTTTAAGAATAACTGAAATAATATCAGTTATGGACTATATAAAGTACTTGCCGCGAATGTTACTAGTTTGTAAAACCACCAACAATTAATTTGTTTAATCATACTAAGTAGTTGACAAGTTGACTATTTGACACAAACAAAATGATTCAATAAAACCATGAACAGAAAAAAAATTTGGACTGACAGAAGTTTTATATAGAGCAAAAAATAGAAGGAAGAGATAAAATATATATCTCAGCTATAAGTAGGAATTTCATAGATCCATCCGTATACTACGTGGTTTTTGAAGATCTAATTATTAAGGGATTTAATTTCGTAATAGGCTAATAGGACACCACAATTTCTATTTTAATTAACTTTAAATAAGTCAAAACACTGTGTTTTCGTTACTCAAAAAAATTAAAATATTAATTTCTCTACACATACATATAATTTAATAATATCTTAATAAAAATGTGTGGTGAAAATAATTAAAATTAAAATATATTTAATCGAAATTAAGTGAAAATAATAACAAATATTTGCGTGGGTGGTTCATGTTTTTTCTCCTCTTCTTTATTTTCTTTTTTTAATTTAAGATCAACTGTGCTACTTTTAAAATAAAAATCATGTTTTTTAAATAATTTTTTAAATTTTTTTTTGCGCTCAGTTTCACAGATTGTTTTTTTAAACATTTTAAAAAACATGACAAAAATTTTCATCTCAGTACTTATCATGTTTTTCTTGAATATGAATATTTGGAAAATAATAACAAAGGAACATAAAAAAATAATATATATAGAAGTATTAGTATGTATATAAAAAAACATGAAAATTTTGTTGTTGTGGACATCCACAAATTTCTGAGACAACTAATTTGCGTCTGTGAGAACAGCAATTTAAGATATATGGTTGGGATAGAATTGGGATAGTGGAGATATTGAAACGCTTGGAAAGCGGTGTCATTAACAGGTAGTTGCTAATTCATTTAAATAAATGATGTTAAAGTATTAGGTGTCCATTAAAATAGGTGACTTAAGTTCTTTCAGTTCTCTCTACCTTAATGCTAGACTAAGTATATAATACCGACGATGTGAGAAAATGTTAATGTTGTGGATGTCACTATACACTACTAGGCTATATAAGTTTATATTTTTATAGGTGTATATAAATAAAAATTATATCTCACAGAAAAACAAAGCAATTTAATCTTCCAAAATTTACAAAGATAATTTATCTATTTATCTGTTGTTAGCAATTTAAATAATTAAGTAATAAACAATTTGCTTGTTATTTACCAATTCATATTGACAAATTTTTAAAACTTTAGATAGCACTATAATAAGGTGAAAGACAGTTAAATAAACAGCAACTACTTTTACTTGTTAAGAAAGACTCCTATCAGGGTGAATAAGATTCATAATTCTTCTGAATAAGATTGATATTTAGAATAAGTCAATAGCACGAAATAGAATTGAAAGGGAAACTATCCGAAAAGTTAGTAGTAAGAAGCTAAGCTTGCGATTTCGATACCAGATTGAACAAGCGTACTAGTAGTAAGGTGCTGAAATGTTCTTAGAAAGATACTTCTTTTATAGTTTACGGTGAAGACGAGAGACATTAAATTATATAAATTTGACGGGATGAATTTAGTCGTTTAGTCATTCTATACTAGAGTTCTTGCGAGGAATGTGGTACTAAAAATCCCTAATTGAGGTATATGGAAATTAACTAATGGCCTGCCACTGCAACCAACCAACCCACCAAGGTGCTAAATTTATGATCTTGATGCTGGATGGCACAATCAAGCCAACAGTAACGTACTAAGCTGGTGATTCCGATAACGGATGGAATAAACAAACCTGCTTAGTTAGTGAGTCTGATGTTAGATGAAACAAGTAAAGCAATAGTTAGTTACTAAATTCGTGACTTTCACGTTGGATAGAATAAGCTAGCTAGTAATTAGCCGTTTAGCTGGTGACTCCCATTTTGGATATTATAAGCATGTTAGTAGTTAGTTGCTAAGCTGCTGACTCCAACTACGGTTCGAACAAACAAACCAGTAGTTAGCTGCTAAGATAGTGATTTTGCCAACGGATCAGACAAGAAAACTACTAGTTAACCGCTTAGCTGGTTACTCTGACTTCAGATGAAACAAAGAAGCCAGTAGTTAGTTACTCAACACGTGACTCTTACATCGGATGGAGCAAGCAAACCAGTTGTTAGCTGCTAAGCTAGTGACATCGTTATTGGATCGAACAAGCATACTAATAGTAATCTGCTAAGAGTATTCATAAATCATGTGTTAATCTTCATTAACTGCTGTTATGGATTATATTGACGCAGTTGTTCAAGTGTTTGTTTTTTTCAAACCTATTAAGACTACAATAATAGACTAAAAAAACTGTTTTTTTTGTTTGTATTCCATTGTCATTAGGCAGAACTTTTAAAATTTCTGGTGTACCGAGTTTTCAATATCACATTGAATTATGTATTTTCTTATCCGTAAATTTCTCTCAAGTAGTTTATTGCGGATTGTAATCAGCATACATATCGTGTGAATGCCGATTTAAACTAAATAATGGAATTGGAATTAACTTTTATCATATAAATAGGCTATGTTTGTACTGTTGCCGTTGTGTTGTAGTCCACTTTAACTTGAAAAATATTCGTATATTTGGATGAAAAGAATTGCATTAAAGAGAATGATGAAATATGGTAGGAGTAAGGAAATAAATAGATAAATATGTTAAACGTAATCACTATATCAAATATCACTTTATATCTAACTGAATATTGGGTAACATTAATTCTAATTCGAGTCAATTTTCTCTATTGCTATATTATCAAAAGGTCGCTTCAGTCCTCGAGATTAAATCTTGTAGTAGATTTAATTAATAATGAAATTGCCTTGAAAAATAACCCATTCAATTTATACTATAAGACATAACAGTCCTTCCGTACAATAGCACATAAGTGAATATATAACATATTCACTTAAGTGAAAGTCATGTTATCGAAGGCCAATTCTATTCTGTACTATTCTCACACTAATTGCACTATTCCAAATTCTATGGAGCGCAGATGGATTAAACTATAATTTTATTTTATATGAAAATGTTATGGTATTTTATTATTTATTTTAATTTTGGCAACCCATGTTTTGTACGACTCCTAATGTTTCATTAATTTATTTTTATTCTTTTTTTATATATATAAGATTTACTTATTTTCACTATAAATAAAAAAATTTCGTGGAGCGTGCTTTCTCTCTATTTTATTTTGAAAGTGGTTGTGGTTGTTTTTGAAATCTATCAGTGCACGTTGCATTCAAAAAACAAATTTAGAATTCATGTTTTTTATACTGAGAGACTATATAAATTATATAATATATTTATGTTTACATGTTTTTTTTTAAAATAGTTAATATTATTTTTTAAATTAATTATAATTAAAAAATTTGATCTGTTTCACGCTTAGATGTCGCCCGTTTTATGAATTACATATAAGCCATAATTTTATACAAATTTCATTTGATTTTAACGCACCTTTGTAAACATATTTAATGTTGTTTTTAACAAATATTTTTTTTCTTTTTTTTTTTTTTGTATTTAGAATAAATATAATTATGAATTTTACTATCACAACATTGGTGTTATCTTTTTGGTATACAACAGCGGACTATATGCCACCAAAAATCTTTAAATGACATTTGTTTCGGAAACACAATTCCTCGTTGAATCCATTTTGTCAAACTAACAAGTCTCTTTGAAGTGTGTGAGAACTATTCCTTCTGTTTGTTTTTAAACAAATATTTACTCAATAAAAACTATGCGCCTATAATATCGAAATAATATAGTTCCTCATAAACGCTATGTTCAGTAGTTGTGATAATTCTTAGTGGCATTTTTACTCCGAGAGTAATGGTAGAAAGAAAATTTGTCTACGATAGAAATATTCTCAATGAATATTAGCACTATATACACAACCGATAATGTTGCGCTACATATTTTTACAGTGTATAGTGTATTTTCAGAATTCAATTAAATTCAAAATTAATTTGCTCTAATTAAATATATATCCCAGATCAGGGATGAATTTAGTCGTTTAGTCGTTCTATACTAGAGTTCTTGCGAGGAATGTGGTAGTAAAAAATCCCTAATTGAAGTATATGGAAATTATCTAATGGCCTGCCATTGCAACCAACCAACCAACCAAAGTGCTAAACTGGTGATCTTGATGCTGGATGGCACAACCAAGCCAGCAGTAACGTACTAAGCTGGTGATTCCGCGGCTAATGTAGTGCGGCCTGTGACATGATTTTAATTTTCTTTTGGTGTACTGGTAAAACCACATTAGTTTATTTTTATATTAATAAAACTATATTTAATATTATAATCGTATTTTTATTTTTGTCGAAAACAACTATTAACGTATGTACACGTATTTGTTTCTGCGGCCCTTCAATCTGTACAGTGAGTTGTATTGGACCGCGATCGCATCTAGTCTGGACAGCCCTGTCTTAGATTAATAAAATAAAATAAATGACATATTAATTGAAATCAATTATATTTTAAACAAAATAATACTAACAATATGAACTTGTACTTGAGATTTTCAAATAGCTCGAGCATATTCAAATTCGAATATTTAGGTTAAATACTCTTAATATTCGAATATGTCTGAGCTGCTCGACTATATTCGAGCTAATCGGACAGTATGTCTGTATAAACTTTAGATTTTTTTTTTATGAAAATACATTTGTGAATTTTCGAGCGGTTCGTTGTGTTCGAATGCAAATATATTCGAACATCAAAGCGCTAGAAGCTGTGATCAGCACGAATAAAATTTTAAGTTTTAGTTTGAACCTATAGACAGATAAATCACATGCATTTTAGAAATGTGGAACGATAGTCCGGGAAACAAATAAAGTACTATTTTGCTGATAGCGTCGATTAGTGTGAAAAACTCATATATGAAATAACTCCTTGTACATAATATTTAAGCTCTAATAGAAATTAATATTTGATTCAAGAAAGGAAAAATACAGTATATTAATTTTCAAATTAAAACAAGTTACATAGCATCAAAATAACGTCTATGTGAAAAAAAAATCTTCATTCAAAAAACTTACAACTTTTAAAAATTTTGAAGTCATTCGGTTCAGTGGTTCGATACGCTGTATTATAGGCTAGGTTCCACACTCAGTTTATTGTAGTTTCGGTCAGAATTTGGAAAACTTCATACTTTCAGTACTTTTTTGATATGCTATATTTGATTCCATATAGGAATTATTTTATATCTTTTATTAATGATTGAAATATTTTGTGTGAAGGAAAATGAAAAATACTCACACAAAGCTAATGAAGAAGGCCGACGAGATTTTCTTCACACAACCCGATTTTTTCTACGAGATCTCTACTCAAGCCAAATGTCACAATAAAAATGTTAATAAATTTCTAAATAAATAGATCTGAAGTATGATTAATAACTGATTTCTTAGCTTAACATGGGTCTTTAAGCTATCGTCTTTCAAAGCTAGGAATAAACAATACCGACAAATATTAATAATTTTGTAAATTATGATGTTTAGATAAAAGTTTTTATGTTATATGAAAATACCAATTGACGTTGTAAGAATGTATCAATAACCTTAAGTAGGTTTTGGTCTTCAGAAAAATTCTTAAATTGCTAGATTACAAACTATTTTCTGTAAAAAATAAATTAAAAAAATAAATTATATTAAGATTAATATAGCTATGCTAATAGCTAATAGTGTAATATATAAGTCTTACTTTCTCATTTTTAGGAACTATTAAATTTCTTAAAAACATCGTTTTAGTTTTTAATTTTTATATGAATACAAGAATTCATCCAAATATGTTCGAAAAATTTGGAGCGAGAGAAATGTCGAACTAGAAATGTAGAGATAGCACTTAATTGGATATAGTAGATACTAATCAAGTAAGTATTTTATCTATGAGCATTTCTCTCTCATGGTCATATCGTGATAAAATTGATTTTTATTGTGTCACACACATCACAGTTCAAACCAATGTTTTTCAATTTTCTTGCATATGATGCAGAGTAAATAGATTACCTTAACCTAAAGTAAAAATAGATGAGGAACTAGAAGATAAAATTTTGAAAATCGTGAGAGTATGCAAAATGTTTTAGATATGTTCGAAACGAACATTTTCTTTTAATTTCAATAGAACTTTATTCATATAAAGGTCTAAATAATCGAAAAAAATATATATTGCTAAGTATTTTGTGAGAAAATGTTAATTTCTTCTTAAATTTCATGTTTTGAGAAAGTTTTAGTTAATCAAATAATGGTTTACTTGATTTGTGATTAGTGCAGTGAAATATATATCATAAGCTAATATCATTTGAAGTGTTTTTTATTAGAACGTATGCTTTCTGATACAAATATATTTAAAACTAATTTTCTATGGATATTGAATATTAAATTATTAAAAAAACGTAACAAGAATATAAACTTTAATAAATTAATTGAAATTATGTAAAGCGAATAATTGTGGGCACAAATTAATAAAAAATATAGTGTTTACCTGTGTAATTACACATAAAAAAAATTAATTATTGAACAAGTCCACATCTTCAGAAGTGCTGAAGATGCTCAGAAGCCCTCAATATTATTAACTAAAATAATTAAATCGCACATGTTTTCATCTCGCACTAATAGTTCCATATCGATGATGATGATGAGCTCACAAAATATTAATTTCTATTAATTAAAATTACAATAGTTACCAACTTATGTTGTTATTATGCATACCATCATCATCACATTTCGGATGATAATTAAAACGACTTTTTTTCAGTACTTGAATGACATGTAGTACCAGATTCTCGCCAAAATAAGATATCTAATAATAAGGCATGATTATGTATAGTACAATAGATGTGATACACGCCTACTACTCCCATCAAGGCATATCAAATGTGCAGCTGACATTTATAAAACTTCCTTTCAAAATCGAATTTTACTTTACAATACCCGCACCATCGTCATGCGTGATTCTTATGGATGAAAATATAAAGGTCTTAATTTGTGCCTTACGAAGAGTACAATTGTAACAGAATTTAAGGACAATTGTAACAAAATTTGAGGATGCACTAGACAACATTATTCTTATATTATATTTGTTTTCATTTTAATACATAGTTATAGTTTATATATGGAATAAGTGGGTTATGCTTAAACAGAACATGGCAACCACCAGATCTCGTTTTGAATATCATTTTAAGTTGTAGATTTACACAGAAACAAGTGGTTATGCTTATGCAGAGTATGACAAACATCAGAACTCACTGTTTGTTGTAAAAACAGAAGACTAAAGCTTTAAAAGGGCAGTATTAGTACCCTTACCAGTACATACATTTACACTTATAGTTAAAAATTTCTTTAAAAAATCTCTGCATAACATTTTCAACGTTAAATGTTTTAATTTTATACTCGCATAGTAACTATTATAAATGTATAATCGAGGACAGTGCTGAGTATACTTTCTTTAACTGTGAAAGATGGCATGGAGAAAGAACACTACTTGCAGAATATGTAGGTCACTTCACAGTCGAGAATATCGTAGAAAAAATGACATAACGAGCAAAAAATTGGAACAAAATGACAAAACTCATCGGAAATGTACAAAGGGAAAAGAAGAAAAATCTAGACACAAACTAATCTAAAACGAAGAACAATTTGATGACTTTCTAACTCGGATTAGAATTGGGAGCCTGGATACAGGTTTTACGAGAAGAATATGGCATATGTGGCTAACTTATAAGGAATTCTACCTAAAGTAATGCGAGAGCAGTCCCGGGTCCCGAGAGAAATCCCGCAGAAGAAGAGGGGATGTTTTAGTTTATATACTACAAATTAGAAGTTGGACACACCATTCCGGTGACGATTGGTTTGACGGTGCATAAAGCATATCACCTCCTCACTACAAAAAAAAAAAATTATAAATGTATAACAAATATAAGATTATTTTTTTATTATTTAGTTATAGAATTTTGCACTGAGACTAAGAGATCTATTGTACTTCATCAAGGATTCAGAGTATTTTTTTTTAATTTTAATTTTATCAATAAATTATAGTTTTAGCACTTACTTTGCTGGGTTTTTCATTCTTATCCAGTTTAGGACGCAACTGGGTTTTTCTTTTTACGCTTCTGGGCCGAAGCGTGTTTTTTTTCTTTATCCAGTTTAGGACGCCCAACTGAGTTATTCTTGGGTTTACGCTTCGGGGCCAGAGCTTTTCCGGTACGTATTTTACTTGAGGTCTTCATTAATGAAAAAATAAAATTTTTGTTTTTCTTAATATGAATTGAACAATACGATATTGTTTGTAAAAGGAAAAACTATGAAAATATTTTTAATTAACATCACAAAAAATATTTTTAAGCTTTAATATTTTTAAAAGTACTCTCATATATGTAGTTTGGAATCAATTTTAAAACTTTTGCTTAAATATTGATATTGTTTAATTCAGTGCTGGATGATCCTGATGGCTGGACATCAAATGTAGTAATTTGCGTACTCTAGTCCATGATTCAATTATAAGAGAAACAGTGATATTAGTTTTTTTTTTAATTATTAATCTACTAATTAAAAATTTACAGAAAGGTATAATATAAAATACATGACATATCATATCATGATATCAACCGAATATTGAGAAGTAATTGATATGAGTGTACATAATTGAGTTGGAGATTGAGTGTACATAATATTCGAAAACAGCCAAATATTGTATTATTAGTGGATCGTTAGTTAAATGTATTATGTTATGATTGTAATTTCTATACGTATTAAATAGAAAATGTTTATGTTAGCTCTTCAACTATTATGCTAATGTTATACTTTAGATATAAATATCTTGTGATAAAAATGATTTTGTATTCCTGTATTCTTATATGCATGTCTTAGTATTTATTCTATTTTTCTCCTCTGAGTTATGGCTGTTGCACCAGGGCAACCGAGAATCTTGAAAACTCCACTACAATAACTGTCACGTAGCGAAGGGAGGAGCCGAAGCCACCACTAAATTAAACCAATGTACAAATAACCAATGTATTATGATTTATCGTTGTTATTAACGATACATCTATTATCAATAATTGATGTGATCACCTACCAGTGGTCACTGGAAGCTACAAGAACATTAGATCCATCATCGCATAAATAACACCAGCACTCCATAAATTTCACGCATTTAATTACCGATAAGTGAGGCATAACGTGAGGCCCACAAACAGAATTAAGTAAAGAACATCCATAAAAACAGAACCGCTTTTATATATGTGCTGAACAAAAAAAATTTTTGTTCCGGTGGATATATAACTAACTGGAGTTCTATATGGTTTTAAGTAAAAAAAAGCATCTCTTTTCTTACTTATTTTAAAACTATGTGGCTCTTGTCATTGTAACTCACAGGAATTTGCTTGTGTAGTCCCTTTGGGTTTGGTGAACCACATTTGGTTGTTGAACTTTCGGAGTGTCTCCGAAACGTAGACCCGGTCGGTCTTGGAAAAATATTATCTCTCTCTGTTTTTTTTTTGTCTCTTTTATAATAACATTGAGGTATATTATTGATTACTAAGGTATATTATTTGATTATAACTGTTCGGTTTCATTCGAATGGAAGCAGAAGCAATCCCATATACACTTTTAAGTCCACCTTTAAGAAATGTACGTATAATGAAATTAGATTATTACTTCGCATGTTCGAGCAACTAACATCATAGCAGACAAACATCACATTCTGTTTATACTGATAATAAAAATATTATTTTAAAAATATTAATAAATGAAAACAATAATTTTTTGAGTAAAGATTTTTTAATTTAAACAAAATTATTCATTTCTTCGGTGGCAGCCACAGGTGAAGGGAGGGAGCTTAAAGAAACTTTCAATTTTTATGTCAAAATTTGCAACAACTATACTTGACAATTCACAACACTTTACCAACAACAAATGTCTTGCAAAAAAAAATCACTTATCGAATACACACACCATATGACCGAAATGAAAAAAAAACATTGAACAAAGTAAAGAAATTGTGTTTCAGGAATTATTTTTTGTTTCGGTTATGACTTAAGGAAATTTTGTCTAAAAAATAAATTAGTTCCTCTACTGTACGGTTTTTGAATAAATGTATAATAACAGTACGTTCACAAAATCTGAAAAAGTTGATCAACATTGTGAATTTAGAAAAAGAAACTGATTTTTTGCACTGGGAACTCAGCAAAAACAGCAGCACTTCTACACAAATTATCTTGCATTGCCACTGTGTTGGGACAAAGAAACTTATAGCGTAGACACAACGTCAACGTCAACGTCAACGTCAACTTCATTTTTTATTGTTTTTACAAACTCGCATTTATTATTTTCTTAAGTTTGGTTTTTTTTGCATTTGTTTGTATTTTTTTGTTTATTTGCACTTTTTACTTATTTTTAAATTAATCTATTTTTTTGCGCGATAAGATTATTTATTATATTATAAAATACGAAACTTACCTAGTGCAATATTACTTGCTTTAAATCCACCAGGTTATCAGCGAAATTTGTTAGCCGAAACACTTCTCATTTCACAAAAATCACAAAAATCACAAAAAATTAATATTAATTTATGTCCGACAGAAATTGCTTCAAAGTACTGCTGTATTTATGATCTGCGTGTGCGTGTGTGTGTTTGTTTTGTCATTTCTTTAAATTTTATTATTTATCTTAAGTGATTTGTTAGCGTCTTTTTTATTAAGAAAAAATTTGGTTATGCTTGTTTTTTTTAGTTTTGAATTTAAAAATATTAAATTTTAAGTAATATATTTGATATTATTGTTTATTTCACAGCAATTAAGTTGATTTAAATTTCACTGCCAACACCAAGTATGTGAATGCTATTGTTTATATTGGCGCGAAAAAATGTTACACCGTCAAAAATATTGTCTCAAGAATAATTGTTCTATAATTGTCTTAAAAAACGGTCTTAATTAAAATTTATTTTGTTTAATTATTTGCAAGTTAACATTAAAATTAATTTTAAAGTTAATTAAGAATAAGAAACTGAACTGCTAGGTTCTTCGTTCTGTCAATTAAAATAATTATAATACGATATTGAAAATAATAATAATAATAATAATAATAATAATAATAATAATAATAATAATAATAATAATAATAATAATAATAATAATAATAATAATAATAATAATAATAATAATAATAATAATATTAATAATAATAATAATGATAATAATATTAATAATAATAATAATATTAATAATAATAATGATTTAATGACAAGTAATTAGAATTGGTAGGTCATGACAGTTAAAGTGCATTTCATGTAAATGATTTTTAGACTCATTTAATAACTTTTAAATGCTAAATATTTAATACACAATTCGCGTTTTTTTTAAATAATCTTTTGTTTAACTTTTATGTCTATAATAATCATTATACATATTTTGCAATCAGTGGCGGAGCTAGACCAACTCTGCACGACGGCGATATCCGATATCCGAAGTAAATAAGTTACATTCACTAATACGACAAACCCTGATTGAAAGTTTCATTGCTAATCAAATTAAAATAAACTCAAATTAAACTAAATAAATTTTCCTACGTTTAGCCTCACTCAATTTTTTTTTAAATTATATCATAATTTGCTGCTCACCTTAACTGCGGGCCGTGCTTTGGACAGCCCTGATTTAAATAATAAAAAGAAACAACTACAAGTGACAAAACGATAATTCCAATTAAATAATTTAAATTGATAGATTTCTTTCACATTTATTATTAAAAGAGAGGTCACTGCACTAAAATTAGGGAATTTGGTTTTAATAACTGGACAATATGGTACTGCTTGGATATTACATTAATTCTTTGGTTATCTTGTTCTTGTGAATTATTACCTTGAGTTTATACTTAGGGGGAGCGTAGGTGCCACATCGTTCAATATCTAACTTGTATATTTTCTTGTGAAGCATTTCTTTGGTTATACTCTTAAAGGGGAACTAGGCTGAAATATCGATCCATGTGATCCTTGGATATCTCCTTCTTGTGAAATATTACTATGATTACACTCTTAAGCTGGAACGAGGCTGGTATACCACCCCATATTCTACTTGCCCATGTGAAAATGCTCGGTTAGATTAGATTGGAGTTGCTACCTTGTACCCCAAACTTAAACTAAAGTAATAACCTGTTGTAATAACACGGATTAGGGTTGTATGCAGACCAGAAGGACTCTTAAGCCCTTGTGTTAATAATTGGATTGACGTTTTTAAAAGTTCAAGTTAAAACAATTATTTACTAAAAATACATTTAAAGTTACTATATATCATATGATACAGTTTTTTACTACATATATGTTATTTTTTTTTAATAAATCTTAACATATATTATTTTTTCTATATGCATATATATGTAGGTTAGTGCGTTCTTCTGCTGGTTAGTGTTATTGCAGAAAGTGTTTTAGGGTTAATGCGTAATCGTCAATAATATATTTGCATTAACATATTAGATTAGTGTTAGTTAGTCAATTGTTTAAGGATTATCGCGTAACAAATATAATAAAATCGGGTTTCTAATTAAATAATTAGTATTGCTTAATCTGACTATAACTACCGACGGTATTCCAATTTTAATATATGTATATAAGTCTATGGATGAGAAAAACGATATTCAAAAATGTTTAAAACCTTTTTTTAGCTAATATCCGTCTAAGGCTCAAAATATATTTTTGTATATATTATTATTAACTTAATTTTGTGAATTAAATTAAGTTAATATGACTTTAAAATCACTTTCGTGCAATTTCTTTACAAGTTAAACTTTAAAGCATTAAAAAAGCTTTCCACTTCTTTCTGTACAAAACAAATATTTTTTCTGCTTCTTCCGCTTGTTATACATAGCGAAAGCCAGTGCAAAGTGAACTTTCTTGGGCTACCTTACCTACCACACTTCATTTAACCTACTTTTTTAATTTTTGGCAGTTCAATGCCCTCAATCTGCAATACACTTATTAAAAGTGTATTTCTTGTGTGTAGTTCAATGACACAGTCAATGTGCTTGCCGATGATAAACACCATACCACACATAATAAAAATATACAAATAAACAGCTGAATGCTGAATGGCAAATGTTTTTAATTTATTTGTGCACGACGTCGGCGTCAGTGTCAGCGACGATAACGACAACAACACAGACTTGTTGTCTCATACAAAATTGTGCAAGATAAAAGTGAAACACTTGCCTTCGTATTTTACCAGGCCAACAGAAATTTTAAAACGTAAATAGCATGTGTTCATATGGTGCGGTAATTTAAAAATAGAAATTTGTATTTGGAACACAATACTTCCTACTGAATGCTCTGTAGATACAATATCGTGTGCGAAGAAAGAGCATGAATATATATGCTTTTGTTAAGGAATATAGATATTGTTGCTCTTTACGCACACGTTTAACAAATTGCATCTGGAGTACATTTGTGTTGTACACATATTGACTGTTTACTTTGTTTGCCATTGAGTGGGATAGTGTAGTGTGTGGTGTGAATTCTATGATGATAAATGCCTTGAATTCAAGGTTGAATGTGTGTATGCCTGCATGTACGCTTATACGTAAACATAAAAATGAAGACCGTTTTTAACTGGTTTCAAATTTTATACCAGTCATAAGGAATTAAATTTGTCAGTTTTTTTTTTTAAATTTTAATTTTTTTTTGTATTGTCACAGTATTAAATTTGGTTGGTCTTGAAAAATACGTATGTACATATTCGCGGCATGACTTTAAAATTCAAGTAAAATCAGTGGCGTAACTACATTTTTTAGGCCTGTAAGCAAATTCTAACTAAGGGGCCCCTACCAACATACTAAGGGGCCCCTCGTTTTTATACTCTTTACACGAAAAAATGTAAAAAGGGTATATAAGGTTTGTCAAGATTTTCGTAACGCATTAAAGGAAACTTCGGAAATACCATTAAGTATATATCAGTATACTTTTACAGTTCAAACTACTCTCTCAGCTTTTGAACTCTTCGAATAAAACTTTATACACATACTTTTCGGGAGCGCACCCTGTTCACCATTTGATTTGATTGAAATTGGACGTCTATTTCTTGTAGCTGTGATATAAACTTAACAATCGGATATAAGGTTTCTCCGTTTTTAATAAAGGTATTCAAATGGAATATGGTGTATACAGTACTGATATTTGCAAAAGACAACGTACAAAATTATTTTCAAATGGGTTTAAATTTAGATATAGCTTCCATATAAACTCTCGATCAAGACACATATTTTTCTTAGAAAAACTTTTTTATTTCATAAATAGGTTTAATATTTTATTTGAAGTACATACATATTATGTACTTTAAATTTAAAATTTACGTATCTTTTATAAAATGCAATATGAAGTTATTCCAACAAAAAACGTTTCGTCCCACTTTTGAGAATTTATTAAAAAGAAATACAATGAATACAAAAATTTATAGTGGGGCCCCCTAAATTCGGGGGCCCGAAAGCGTTGCTTCCAGTTGCTTCCCTGTAGTTACGCCACTGAGTAAAATACTGTATAAATAAAACAAACCAAGAAAGAAGCAAAATGTTAACAAAAAAAAACTTTCGTCAATTTTTTGTTTTACGCTGGCTGCGGTGCTGCGTTGTCTGTTAATAAATAAATACATTTTTTGCTTTATGTCAAACATAGCGCATAGCAGCACCGTCTTTCGTAGCAGCCAGCAATCAAATCAAATCAAATCGAAAATATGTTATACCACTTTCTTAAGTATGATAGCAACGGTCGCTGTCGTCGTCATCGTCGCAGGCTGCAACTACACACGAACGATTTTTATTTAGACAACATTTCTTTCTTACGTTATAACAAACAATGTTCGGAGTGAAATCGCATAAAGTTTGGCTGCACACCGTTACCGATATTTTGAATAGGCGCCAAGCGTTTTCAGAAAGCAATACCAACGACAACGACAACGACAACGTTCGGCATAAAGTGAGCATCGACGTTTGCGGTTTTCACTTCAAACTGTACAACACTTTTTTGGAACGTGTTTGATTGTCTGTGCGTTACTTTTGTGTTGCATTTGTTGTTGTTTCGCTGTTAAATTTTCTGCCATACACATTTTCCCATTTTATTAAACGTACCAATCTTGTACGTCGACGCAAGATTGGTTGATTGCATTGAATGGAAAATAGCAATGCCAGCGTCAGACGAGTTGTTGCTTTAGTTTATTGGTTGTGCTGGTTGGTGCCAGTATAGCGCAACCAAAAATGAATTTCGAAAATTTTGTGTTGGTCGAATCCTACAATTTTTGTATTAGGCACGCAGAAATTTTCGCTAGTGCTCGCATTGTTACAGTTGGATGAATGTTCTTATTGGCTGTTGTCAGAGTGCTGTAGTAGTTTTCTGTTACCGCTCATTGTTGGTTATTGTTTTGCATTCCCTGTTTGTTGGGATTTTGATTTTGATTTTTGTGTCTTTGCATACATACATACATACATACATACATATGTATGCTTACCTTCGTTTGAATGTTGCTGGTTTGAGTGGTATATAATTAATCAACAATCGTGTATCATCCCAACTGTTGCAATCAAGTTAAATTGATTGAGGTATTGGAAATGTTGTATTAAGCGCACAACACAACACAACACAACACGCTTATAAATATTCTCTTATAAATAGTTAAAAGCAACAACGATTTGAACAAGCATACCAGCAACAGCAACAG